CCCCCTCTCTCTCTCTCTCTCCTCTCTTTCCCCCCCCATCCCTCCTCAACCCCCCCTCTCTCTTTTCCTCCCTCCCTCCCTGCCTCTCTTTCTGTGTGTGTGTGTTAACTTCATCATTCTATTCGTGTCTGTCTTTTTCTCTGTATGTCTGTACCTTCGTCTCTGCATGTATGCCTGGTCTAACTGTTTCTTCCTTTGATCCTCAACCATTTTACGACCCAACTTCTGATAAAATAAGATAAAAAAGGCAGAAAGAACAGAGAAAGGAGGAACAAAGAAAAAAGAGAAGAGAAATAAAAAGAAAGCATTACAAACTTCTCATAAAAATGAGAGGAAAAAAAGGAGAGGAAATCTTTAAGCGTCGTATCAAGCTTAGTCCACAGCTCTAAAGGGGAGAATAAAGACTGTCTTTTCTTCGGGTACAGCTTCACGGTCAGCGCCCCAGACTGACGAGGAAACGACCTCCCGACTAACAAGCGGATCCTGTTCTCAACTTCTATTCATGGCTTCAGATTCCTTGCTATTTCCAAACGGCGCTCCTTTGTTTTTCCTTTCGTGGGATTAGATACCGAGGAAGAGATTACGATTGGGGTTTGGAATCGTGCGACCGTATTTTTTAAAAACTTTTTGAGTATTGCTGTACTGTTAAAAAAGTCCTATCTGCTGTGCCAAGTTTTAGACAAACACTGTTTTAAATCAGCGTGAATGGTGATACATTATCGAAGAATACATAGGAATCTTTCTGTTGTATCTTCCCCATGTGTACCGTCATTTCATAAGTATGTACTGCACAAAGTTTCAGATAAAAGCGCAATTATGAAACAGTATAACAGATCAATTATGATGAAAGGTTCTTTCTGTTATATCCTCCCATATTACAAAAAAGTCGAGTCTACAAAGTTTCGGATGAAATACAAGGGGGAGGATAAGAGTTGCAACACCTTGACAGAAAAGATATTATCCACGAGATTACGATAATACTTCGGGGGGCTCTCTTTGCTCTCTCCTCCCGGGAGTACCGCCATATCATAAGAAAAAAGCCCCAACATCTCGAAAGTTTCTGATAAGGGGGAATGGGAGGGGGGGGGGATAAGACACAAGGTGGGGGGGAGGGGAAGGGGGAGACAGCAGTTACACGGAACCTCACAGAACCTCCTCCCGCTGTGGTTAGGAAGCGGAGGGGGGGGGGGAAGGGGAAGACAGCAGTTACACGGAACTCACAGAACCTCCTCCCGCTGTGGTTAGGAAGCGGAGAATCCCGCCTGTCCCGGCTAATCATCCGGCCTCACTAGCATCAAGGGAACCCAGGCAGGTAGGGGAGCTCGCCGCTGTATCCCGGGCGCTACAGGACTCAGCTGGGACTCGTGTAACGCTGTAGCTTTGAGAGCGGCGAGATTAAGTGATGGAGGGGCTCAAGGAGGCGCCGAGGCAGGCCGGGGGCTTCCCTTCGGGGGTTAAAGGTGCCGTGTTTTGGCGGGCTGCGGGAAGCCGGTTTAAATGGCTGATCGTGAATATATGCACACACCACACACACACAACAAACACAACACACACACACACGCACACACACGCACCGCACACACGCACATACACACACACGCACACGCACACACACACACACACACACACACACCACACACACGCACCACACGCACGGCACACGGTGTGGGAAGGCCACGCACAGGCCACACAGGTAAGGGAGGGAAGACCGGGAGAAGAGGGGTAGGAGCGAAGGAGAGGGGAGAATATGCATGAACCGCGGAGGGGGTGGGAGGGATGGTGGGGGGGAGGGGTAAGTAATTAGAAGCAGGGAAGGGTAAGGTAAGGGAGGAGGGGGAGGTAAGGAAGGAGGGGGGAGGGAGGAAGTGAACAAGTCATGGAAGAAGGAGGGAGGGAGGAGGTAAGAGAGGTGGGGTGGAAGGAAGATAGGGAAGTAAGGGAGGAGGTGTAGGGAAACAAGAGGAAAGGGAGGTAGGGGGGGGAAGGGGGGAGGGGGGGTAAAAGGAAGATAGGGAAGTAAGGGAGGAGGTGTAGGGAACAAGAGGAAGGGAGGAGGGGGTGAAGGGAGGAGGGGGGGAAGGGAGAGGGGGGGGGTAAAAGGAAGATAGGAAGTAAGGGAGGAGGTGTAGGGAAACAAAGAGGAAGGGAATAGAGGGGGGGTAAGGCGAGAGGGGGGGGTAAGGGAGGGGGGGGGGGAGCGCAGCTAGCCATTTTATTGCCGTGCATGAAATCAGGACGCAAATGCAATTTAGTTTTTTTTTTTGTAAATGTTTTTTTTCCACGTGTTTCATTTAAAGGGGACTCTTTTTTTTTCTTTTCACATTTCATAAAAAATCTCAGGAATAAACTAGTGTAATTTTAAAGAAAAACACCAACGAAAAATTATTAAGCGGATGGAGCCATAAAAATCTGTAATAGCTTGGCTTCTGAAGAGGAAAAAGAAGAAAAAAAAGTAAAATAGATAAGAAGGAGGATATGAAGAAATAGGGAAAAGACGAGGAAGAAAAGGGAAGAGAAAGATAATAGGAAATGATAAAAGAAGGAGTAGAAGAGGAAGAGAGGAAGAAGAAAGGGGAGA